GTTGAATCTGTAGATCACCTTAGGGAGTATTGCCATCTTAACCATATTCTGTCTTTCAATCCTTGAGCATGGAATGGCTTTTCCTCCAGCGGTTCTCAACCTGTGGGTCGCGACCCCTTTGGCAGTCAAACAACCCTTTCACAGGGGTCGCCTAAGACCATCCTGCATATCAGATATTTACATTACAATTCATAACAGTAGCAACATTACAGTTAAGAAGTAGCAACGAAAATAATTTTATGACTGGGTCACAACATGAGGAACTGTATTAAAAGGGCCAGAAAGGCCCTGACCAGTTTGGCTCAGTGGATAGAGCTTTGGCCTGCGGACTGAAGGGTCCCAGGTTTGATTCCTGTCAAGGGCATTACCTTGGTTTCGGGCACAACCCCAATAAGGGGCGTGCAGGAGGCAGCTGATCCATGTTTCTCTCTCATCTATGTTTCTCTCTATTCCTCTCCTTTCCTCTCTGTAAAATATCAATAAAATATATTTTAAAAAAATAAAAATAAAGGGCCAGAAGGTTGAGAACCATTGCTTTATTAGATCTTCTTTTAACGCATTTTTGTGGCTTTTAGAGCATGAGTCACACATTTCTTTTGTTAAATTTCTAAGTATTTTTTATGCTATTGTAAAAATAGAACTGTTTTCTTAATTTTATTTTTGAATTGTTCCTTGTTAGTGTATAGAAATACAACTGATTTTTAAAAAATATGTTTTAATTGATTTTAGAGGAAGGAAGAGGGAGAGATAGAAACATCGATGATGAGAGAGAAACATCAATCGGCTGCCTCCTGCACGCCCCCTACTGGGGATTGAGCCTGCAACCCAGGCATATGCCCTGACTGGGAATCAAACCAGTGACCTGTTGGTGCATGGAATGATGCTCAATCCACTGAGCACCACTAGCTGGGCAGTACAACTGATTTTTAAATATTGATCTTGTATCCTGCAACCTTATTGAACTTGTTCTAATAGAGATGTGTGTGTGTGTGTGTGGGGGGGGGGTCCTTATGATTTTCTCTATACAAGATCATGTCATCCACAAATAGAGATACTTTTTACTCCTTCCTGTCCAATCAGGGTGCCTTCTTTTCCTTTCGCTTGACTAATGGCCCTGGCTCCAACCTCCAGTGCAGTGTTGAGTAGAACTGGCGAGAATGAACATCCTTAGTCTGACTTGTGCATTTCATCGTACAAGTACCTGGTGTGTGTCTGAGTTACAAAGATGTGCTAAGGAACAGATGAAACCATGTGACAACATCGAGGAGGCACTTCAGAGAGCCAGGAGGGGTTTCAGGGGCTGTGTCTCCATCCATTCAGCCATGTAACAAGCGGGGAGCTGATCTATTGATTCTTTTTCATTCTGACTTGTTAGGGTTGCTGTTTTTCTGACCTGGAATTTAAAAAACAACGGTGCTTCCTTTTGGACCCGTTCCAGCTCTAGAACATGCATTGGTCACGTGTTGAGGCCCTAGTGTACTTTCACAAGATGATGTGTGTTTTGAGCAGGCCGACACCCTCTGTGGAGATCTGCTCAGCTGGCTGGTTCTGCATATCACCATGGAATCTTTGTTCAGGCTTTAACGCTGCTATTTATACGCCGTGACTCACTGCGAGCCCTGCTTCCTGGAACGTTCTTCCTAGGGAGGTGAAGTGATGTTCCTTCCTACAGGGAGTCATCTGGAATCACACTTTCAAAGGTTGGAGCAGATCGTGAAGGCTTAGAAAAGGGAACATAAGCTTCCCAAATTACACAAAGTTATTTAAGCAAATTGCCATCCCCGGAGGAAGGTGGAAACACAACAGTTATATATACCAGTTATTCATTCAATTCCACAAATAAGTCCCAGGTGCACTGGGCCGGCGTGTCTGCCTTCATGGGGACAGGCAGCAGGGAGGCAAGAGAGACCTAACATGAATCACCCCAGGACAATTGTGAGAAATGCCACAAAGGGGAGGCTACAGGGGCTTTTCTGAAGAAAAGGACTGGTAAACTGAGGCCAGACAATGGGAGGATTTAGCCTGGTCCTAGGGGGCATGAGGCCCATCACAGGCAAGTTACTGCTTAATGAGTAGATTTCTGTTTGGGATATGAAAAAGTGCTGGAAATAGGCCCTGGCCGGGTGGCTCAGTTGGTTAGAGTATCATCCCAATACACCAAGGCTGTGGGTTTGATCCCCAGTCAGGACACAAGCAAGAAGCAGCCAATGAATGCATGAATAAGTGGAACAACAAATGGATCTTTCTCTCTCTCCTCCCCCCTTTCCCCTCTTTCTCTCAGATCCATTTTTTTTTAAAAAAGTTCTGGAAATAGATACTGATGGCTGCACAACATTTTAAATGTAGTTAATGCCACTGAACTGTACACTTAAAATGGTAAGATGTGTTTACCTGGGGCTAATGTTCAAGACACAGTGATTTCCACCCTCCATCTTTCTCTCATCAGACCATCCACATGTTCCTTCCCAAGACTGAGCCCTCCAGGCTCTCCGCCCTGGCGATGCCCTCCCCCTCCTCGTCCTGGAGGCTCCCACTCCCTTGTTGAAATGAGGTCAGCTTCCTGTCCCCAGCCGGCTCCTCCCAGGAGCTAGCCCACACCTGGCCCTCCTTGCTGTCCTTATACCTCTGCTGGGGTCCTCAGGGCCTCATTGCGGCTGCCATCGCTGTTTGGCTCCGCCCCCTTCCCCAGTGCCGCCGTTTTCGTGTGGCCCACCTAACTGAACTGGGTGGTTCTCAGTTGGGTGTCCCCTAAAAGTAGTCTAGAAAACTTCCTGGCGGAGTGAGACTTAGACTGGGGCTTGCAGGATGTTACACTCTAGGACAGCGGTTCTCAACCCGTGGGTCGCGACCCCTTTGGCGGTTGAACGACCCTTCACAGGGGTCACCTAAGACCATCCTGCATATCAGATATTTACATAACAATTCATAACAGTAGCAACATTACAGTTATGAAGTAGCAACGAAAATAATTTTATGGTTGGGTCACAACATGAGGAACTGTATTTAAAGGGCCAGAAGGTTGAGAACCACTGATTTAGGACCTTATCTGTGACAGAAGTGAACCTGAGTAAAGTGACCTCATAGGACGCCAGGGAGGAAAGGTCCCACCGGAGGTGAGTCTTTGGAAGTAATGGCTATCCATTAGTGAGCACTTGGTCATGCCAGGCGGCTGCTAAGCCCACTTACCTAGAAAATGGCAGAGCAGCCTTGAAGGTACTGTCTCATTTACAAATGAGGAAAGAGGAAGGGGTCCAGCGACTTGACTTGCTCAGGGTCACTTTTGAATGGCAGTAGTCTGCTTCCTACACCTTTGCTTTTCTTTTTTTCATTTTTTATTAGGCACAGTACACCATTATCCACCCATTTTAAGCTCTATGGATTTTAATATATACACCCACGCAATCATTATTTAAAGTTTTTGGACACTTTCAAATGTTCCCTCTTGCCCCTCGACAATCCCACTAGGCCTTCTGGCCCCTTTCTGATGCACTTTTGCTTTTTCTAGAATTATATGAAATCAAGTTGAAGGTAGCTTTTTATGACCGGCTCATTTAATGCTTTTCAGGAGAACCCTGATCTTAACACTATTGAGTTTCCAACACAGAACTGGTATTTGTTTACCTAGGTCTCTAATTTTTCTTCTGTCCAGGTGTTGCAAAGCCTTTTTGTAAAATTTATTTCAATTTAGTATGCTACTGTGAATGAACACTTAAAGATTTAACGATTGTTGCTAACACAAATTCAAATGGTTTTTGTATATTGCTCTATCCTAGGACTTTGCTAAATTCAGGTACTAGTTCTGACCATTTTTGTGAATAAATTTACCTTTTCCAGTCTGTGCCGCTGCTTTCTCAGCACTCATTACCCCCCTCCAGGGCAGGATGGGGCTGACAGGTGTGAGTCACATTGGGTTTTAAAGCAGCAGGTGAGACTCCTGGTGGTGTGTATGCCCGTTGGGCTGAGCGACCCTGTGGGTGGTCCCATCTCCAGCCCAGGGGGCCCAGGGGTTCCTGGGGACAGTTCCAGAGACAACACTTGCCTACTTGCCATAAATCTCTCAGGGCAGGGTCAGTTAGTCCTCAGTTGGCAGATACCCTCAAGTGCCTGCTGCTTTGATTTGAATTCAGTCTTGAACATTCTTAGAAGCCATTGTAACCTCCCTGTTGCACTAGCCCCAGCAAGTACACCCACTTCCTCCAGCTGGTAACCTCTCAGTAAGCACAACAGCAGAAAGACTATGGGCTGTGGAGTTAAATGTGGGCTGAAGTACTGACACCTCAAGTAATTCCTAAGAACTTCTGCCGCAGAGGACTTTAAGGAGTAAATGCGATTAGTGTTCACGAGGCCACTAAGAACCTACGAGCACTAGGGCACTGGCTTTTCCCAGGGTATGGAATCCCACACTCCTTTCCCCATTAGTTATGAACACTCTTAAAGGTGGTCTACAAACCCGAATCCTGCATGGACCTACCACCAAGTTTTCTAAAAACAATCAACTTCAGGACTGGAAGACTAATTTAGCTATCGCTGTCCCAGAAGGGACCCCATTGTTTCCTTTGAGACCAATGATCGCGCTCTTCCTACTGATACCAGCAGCTCAGCCACCTAGACACACCTCTTACCTGAGGCTCAATAAAGCAACAGAAAAAACAAAGCAAGGTATCGGGGGTGACAGTAAGTAGATTTAGAAAAGAACTTGGAGACACTAAGGCCAAGGTTTAAAGGGGCACTATTTAGACTGCAATGTTTCAGAAATGCCACCAACATGCAGCTTGGACATACCAGCCCTGATGTAGAACGCTCGATTAAAGACTGTATTAGACAGATGGGGAGGGCATGCTACCTGATGACACCCTGAAACCTGGGTCCCTGGGAAGTCGCAGAAAGACTTGGGGTGATCAATGTGAACCATCTATTGTTTTCTCCACTTGTCTAGGCAAGATTTGTGTATACCCAGTGCTGTTACATCAGCAACAGCGCCCAAATAAGACACTCTGACATAACTTTTCTTTTTAATTTGTATTTGCCATAACCTTTTAAAGCAGAATGTGACGAGAGCACTGCACTTCTATTCACAAAACTTGCTCTGAGTTACTTTCAAACGGCTTTACAACATATGCCTAGGTAGCTTATATTTCTGCTATGCTACACAATCCTTTAGAGACAAACCCTATGGACAGTTACTACCATCCTGTTGGTCAGCTTAGCATACTAACTTCTAGAGGCCGTACTAGTACATGCAGTTAACTACAGGGGATGTCAGGCTGAAAAAGTAGATCTTAGGGGATGAAGGTTGTTTTAACCACGCATCTCAGAACACTTGAGCAACAAAGATTTGGTCTACTTAGGAACCTGCTTGAGAGAAACACTTCAGACCACAAAGCTAATGAACATTAGGCTACACGTATCTTACAACAAAGATAAACCCATTCTGTTAACAGGCCAACATGGAACTAGGAAAGAAAACAAGCCCGGCTTCAGTGCCTGAAGTATCACAGTCTCACACGTAGAGGGGAAAGGAACCCGGTCTTCCCTTTAAGTAGTTGCCATGCCATACATATTTTTAAAATGTTAACAAAAATAAAGAAAAAAGTCCTTGAAAATATATTATCCAAGGGAATGAAGGTAAAGAACTGAACACGTGTGCAGGTGTCCTGCAGGGGAGCTTAGTCTACTTCCTCCATGCGGGAGGTGTCATCGTCTCCTTCCAGGGGCGGCATCTCTTCGGTCACAGCAGCAGTGCTCTCGTCAGCAGTGGGGTCATCTTCATCGATACCTTTTTCGAAATAAAAGCCATGTATTAGATTTCTTAAAACCAACTCATTAGCCTAATACTACTGCTGGCTTATAACTGCTCCCAACGCTAAGCAATTATAGGGTATTTGAGTCTCAGTTCCATTTTTTAGCCTTTATGGAGTAGGGACCTATTTATCCACCCCTTCAACACGTTACTTTAGTTTCTCAAGTGGCATGACATAATCCCAATTGTGCTCAAGTAGCTAAGTTACCCGCCTAGTAGTCACGGGGCAAGTCTCTTTCCGACAACACAGGCTTACCAAGACCAAGTTTGATCATCCTGTAGATCCTGTTAGCGTGTGTCTGGGGGTCTTCCAGACTGAAGCCAGAGGACAGGAGTGCGGTCTCATAGAGCAGGATGACCAGATCCTTCACAGACTTGTCATTCTTGTCTGCCTCCGCCTTCTGCCTTAAGGTCTCGATGATGGAATGGTCTGGGTTTATCTCCAGGTGTTTCTTTGCTGCCATGTAACCCATTGTTGAGTTGTCTCTCAGGGCCTGAGCCTTCATGATTCTCTCCATGTTTGCTGTCCAGCCATATGTGCTTGTGACAATGCAGCATGGGGATGTCACCAATCGGTTTGATACGACCACCTGTAATCAAAGTACTAAGCATTAAGTTGTAGCTAAGATTACTACAACTCCTCAGCACCTATGTTAGCTTCATCGTGAAGTGAAATCTAAGGACTCTAACAAGTACTGAGGAATCAGAAATATGATGTACTTGCAAACTTGGATATCCCACTGAATGGAAAGGCTAACGTTTTCTATCCTAAGTTTGCAAGTACATTGTATGGCTTAACATGGGGTGGGGGGTGGGGATCTAACACCACTTCCAGGAAGTGTCAAAAATTAGCAAATGTAGGTAGAAGAAACACACCTTTTCTACTTTTTTCTCCAAGATGTCTTTCATGATTTTGCACAGGTTTTCAAACTTGGTTTTTTTCTCTTCCTGCTTCTTTTTCTCTTCTTCATCTTCTGGAAGTTCCAAGCCCTCTTTGGTGACTGACACTAAGGTCTTCCCCTCAAACTCCTTCAGCTGCTGCACACAGTACTCATCAATAGGCTCGATCATATAGATCACTTCTAGGCCGTGCTTCCGAAGACGCTCCACGAAGGCTGAGTTAGCGACCTGGTCCTTGGTCTCCCCTGTACAGAAGAATTACTTTTAGACCTTTCACAAGGGGTCATCTGCTTTGGCTCTTCTTACCTAGTCAGATCTGACCACCACAGATATGGCCAGCTCAGTTAACTACCTTGCCGAGATCAACACCTACTAATGTACAGAGAGCCACACAGGTAGAAAACACCCAGTCCCTGTGAGGTTCCAAGCACCGTGGGGGACATGAACACTACCGTCCATTACCTGTGATGTAGTAGATGTGCTTCTGGTTCTCCTTCATTCTTGTGCAGTAGTCCTTGAGGGAGACCATCTCATCACCAGAAGCAGATGTGTAGTATCTTAAGAGCTCAGAGAGCTTCTTCCGGTTTTGAGAATCTTCATGAATTCCAAGCTGAAAGATAACATTAGCTTTAGAAAAACTTTCTGCATTAAAACAAAATTTAAAATTTGAGAAGCCAGTTTCATTATTACTAATGCTCCAATGTGTTTATAACCAACCTTAATATTTTTAGAGAACTGCTCATAAAACTTTTTGTAGTTCTCCTTATCTTCTGCCAGTTCAGTGAAGAGTTCTAAGCATTTTTTGACCAAATTCTTTCTGATCACTTTCAAAATTTTGCTTTGTTGCAACATCTCCCGGGAAATATTTAGAGGGAGATCCTCAGAGTCCACCACACCTCTAATGAAGTCTGAAAGAATATAAAGACTAAAGTCACTCTAAGGACAAAAATCAACCAAATACGAGCAAGCCCCCAAAACCAAAGATGAATTATGCCCCCCCCCACCCCCCCACGTGCTTAAATTAAGAATTACTTTAACCAGTGACAGTGGTCATTCCTCATACCCAACTCTACTTACTCAGGTATTCAGGGATCAGCTCCTCACAGTTATCCATGATGAAAACTCTGCGAACATACAACTTAATGTTGTTCTTTTTCTTTCTGTTTTCAAACAGGTCAAACGGAGCACGTCTTGGGACAAAAAGAAGGGCACGTGCTTAAATTAAGAATTACTTTAACCAGTGACAGTGGTCATTCTTCATACCCAACTCTACTTACTCAGGTATTCAGGGATCAGCTCCTCACAGTTATCCATGATGAAAACTCTGCGAACATACAACTTAATGTTGTTCTTTTTCTTTCTGTTTTCAAACAGGTCAAACGGAGCACGTCTTGGGACAAAAAGAAGGGCTCTGAATTCCAACTGTCCTTCAACTGAAAAATGCTGTAATAAAACACACACTAAGTCATAATCAGTGGATGAACACTAGCCGTTCCCTAACTCACAGCACTGTGGGAGAAGGGCTGGGATGAGAAAATTTAACTACTTCAGACAGAACCTGCAGGGCAGGCTGGCCTGGCCACACTCGGCAGTCACTCACCTTCACTGCCAAGTGATCCTCCCAGTCATTGGTCAGGCTCTTGTAGAATTCCCCATATTCTTCATTAGTAATGTCATCAGGATTTCTGGTCCAAATTGGCTTTGTTTTGTTCAGTTCTTCTTGATCAATGTACTTCTCCTTGATCTTCTTTTTCTTCTTCTTGTCACCATCCTTCTTTTCTTCTTCCTCTTCGTCAGAACCAACATCTTCGATTTCAGGCTTGTCTTCGGACTCCTTTTCTTCTTTTTCCTTCTCTTCCTCTTTCTCTTCCTTTTCTTCGGCCTCATCATCACTGACTTCTTTATCACGTTCCTTCTCCACCTGCAAAAAAAAAACAGTCACATTCTAGAATGAAAAAATTAACTAAATGAAGATAAAGACTCTATACCAAAGCCTAAATTAGCTAAGAAACATTAACTAAGAAAACTTCTCATGAATTACTTGATGTTTTTAACTACATACTAGAGGCCTGATGCAAGAAATTCGCACAAGAGCAGGCCTTCTTAGAATGTTTTGTGTACCATTTGATTCTTTTGTGTGCGTGTGGCAGTTTTTAAGTTATTAATTTTTAAAATCAGCACTTTTTAATGGAAACAACATGACCAAGAACCTGTCACAGGATTTTGAGACCCATTAAAATTAAGTTTAATGAGAAGAAAAAAAAGAGTAGGCCTTCCTTCCCCCGGGATGCTAATTAGACTGGATGTCCTGCTAGAGGAGCCCCCCTCGTAGCAGGACATCCGGTCTAATTAGCATATTAGCTTTTATTATTATAAGGAGCCCTGGGGTACCTTGGCAGTTAATAACTTCAGACTAGTCCAATAACTACTGGAAGTTTGGGTCTTTGCCTTACAAATCTTAAAGGACCAAACATTTTAATTCAGTCGCTTTGGTTATTTACATAAAAACTTACAAAGAGAGTAATGGGGTAGCCAATAAATTGAGAGTGTTTCTTCACGATCTCTTTGATCCTTCTCTCCTCCAAGTACTCCGTCTGGTCCTCTTTCAGGTGCAGAATAACCTTTGTTCCACGCCCCATGGGTTCCCCTGGAAGAGAAGCAGGGAAAACAATTCAATTCCAATCTCAATGGCCAAATCAGGGTAAAAAACCTACAAGCTATTCAGCTCTCATCGGCCATACCTAACACTTTTTAAACCAATTTACAAAGCAAGCTTTACTGTTCCTGGATGGAGTCAGTCCCACCAGCAGTTAACTGCCTCGCCCAAGATAACCTCCATGTCAGGCTATTACACTATTGCTGCTCACCAGGCTCGCTCCCCAACGTCACGCAAATTCCACAGCCTCTTTGGGGTCCACTGCCCACGCACCCCTACCTCCTGGCCACTGGCTTACCCAGCAAATTACTCCATCAGGTGCCTACCTACGTCAGTCCTAACGGTGAAGGATCCTCCTGCAGAGGACTCCCAGGCATACTGCTCATCATCGTTGTGTTTGGTGATCACAGTCACTTTCTCAGCAACCAGATAGGCTGAATAGAACCCGACACCAAACTGGCCAATCATGGAGATATCTGCACCAGCCTGCAAGGCTTCCATGAACGCTTTGGTCCCGGACTTGGCGATGGTACCCAGGTTATTGATCAAATCGGCCTTGGTCATTCCGATTCCGGTATCCACAATAGTGAGGGTTCGGTCTTGCTTGTTGGGAATGAGATTGATGTGCAGCTCTTTCCCAGAGTCTAGTTTACTGGGATCTGTCAAGCTTTCGTATCTGATCTTGTCCAGAGCCTAGCAAGAAAAAAACACACACATTGTTAAAACACAAGAGCCTCAGATGGTGAAACCAAAACCCAACTGTGCAGGAAAAGGCGACTTACATCGGATGAGTTTGAAATAAGCTCCCTCAGGAAGATCTCCTTATTCGAGTAGAAAGTGTTGATGATCAGTGACATCAACTGGGCAATTTCTGCCTGGAAGGCGAACGTCTCCACTTCCTCCTCCTCCATCGGTTGGTCGTGGGTCTGGGTTTCCTCCGGCATCTGCAAAGGACCCCGGCAGCCCGTTGGGACCGCGCGCAGCAGCACGTCCACAGCAGCGCTGCGGCCCCAACCGCGGCCGCCCCGTGTGTTTAGGGCTTCATTTCAGGGACAAGCGAGACTGCGGGGGACACGCAGACAGGAGGCTGCCGACAAAGGGATGACCTCATTCCGGGCCGCGCCGCTCACAGGGGCGCGCGCCACCCGAGCCCAAGTCGCTTTGCAGGCCGCCCTTGCTCCTCACTGGAGGCCTCCGCAGCCTAGATATCCCTCCTGACACCATATATGGGTGTCAGACCAGCCCAGTCTATGCTTCCACCCCTTCTACCAGTCTCAATGTGCTTTCTTCTTTATTTCTCTAATTGTAGGACTTCCATTCAGCCAGATTTCAGGCACTTTTGAATGATGGTTGTTCTCTATTTTAGTTGTTATTTTGATGTGGGAGGCGGCAAGTACTGGTGTTTACCTACACTGCCATCTTCAGCTCTATCTACTTCTTAACACTTTACATTTTTTTCTTATTTCTCACATACTTAAGGTTAAAAAATTATTTGTTGATTTAATTATTTTAATATAATGTCAAAGGAGGAGTCCATTCTTCAAGATGTTTTTTAAAGGATATTGACAAACATGAAGGGTTGCCAGTAGCCAATTTTCTTAAAAATCAATATCTTATAACTTGATATATAATAATTTTAAGTAACCCA